GCACAGAGATTTAAGTCCTGACAATATTTTGGTTTTCGAAAATGGAAAGAAGTTCAAAATCTGCGACTTTGGAACGGCACAGCTGATATCAAATTCGAATACTACTGCTGGAAAACTATTTATCAAAGCTCCAGAAATAAGTTCAAACCAGAAATTCAACTGCAGTAGTTAAGTTGATATCTGGTCTCTCGGAGTGACTCTCTACTACTTGTGCACCAAGTAATTTCAATACGAAGGCAAGACGTTATCTGAGCTAAAGAAACAAGATTAGACAGCTTAAATAAGTCTTGAAGAATAGTTCAAAGTATTCGAGTCCCTTTTAAATAAAATGCTTGAGTTTAATCCAGCTTTGAGAATAGATGCACTGTAGGTGCTGTGCGAAGTTTGTAAGATTTGTAATGAACCTGTGAACAAGCATTTGGAAATTGAAGAGCAAAAATAAATTTATCCTGATGCTACTAGTTTTAATGATAACTAAAATCCTTTTGATCTAACAATAAGGTCAACAAATGCTATTGTCAATGAAATTATTTAAAAGTTAGGAGATTTTAACTTTGGAGCCATAGATAAGATTCATCATAATCAAAACTGAATCTTCAGGCCTCTCATTAAATATGAAAATGGTGCTATTTATCAAGGTGAATATGATAAAGTCACAAAATAAAAAGATGGAAGAGGCAGATATATTTGGAGTAGTGGATAAGTCTATGATGGATTGTGGAAGAATGGTTTGAGAAATTTATATGGGAGATATGTATATGTTAGTGGTAATTACTATATTGGTGAGTGGAAGGATAGTAAAATTAATGGATATGGAAAATATTATGAAAATAGTGGAGACTATTATGAAGGGTAATATTTAAATGGTAAAAGATAAGGGTTGGGTTTGTATAAATATATTAGTGGTGATTAATACTATGGATAATGGGTGAATGAAAATAGATAAGGTGTAGGAGTATTCACATTCAAGAATGGAGATATTTATCTTGGATAGTGGATGAATGGTTAAGTTCATGGAATACAGATGTATATTCCAAAAGATGGCGGATATATAGAAATCAGTAGATATAAGAATAATAAGCGTATAAAGAAATTAATTGAAGTAGATAATGATTAAGAGTGATTATCTCTAAATAAACTTGCGAATCAAAGAATGATCTTGATGGATAATTTGAAACGAGTTTGAGATTGACTATTGAATGATTATTTTATTAAAATTTTAGCGATTTGTACCATCTCTTTTTAATTGCATATCTCTCGGGGTTTTGGGGTTTTGGGGTTTTGGGG